TATATATTTATTTATTTATTTGTGTTTATGTATATGATTTGAATGTGTGTGTATGCTCTGATTTGTTGTTGTTGTTGTTGTTGTGCTGTTGTTGCTTTCGATTGCCTTGGCTGTTAAATGGTAAGCGTTTTTATGGATAAGACAAAATTAACAAATTATTCTTACAACTTCCAATTATTGGTGGTGAGTATTGATGGAAAGTGTAGTCAGGGAATGGTCGTGGTTTTTGGCTAAATTTTATCGTTTACCAGGTATGCGTTATCATTTCTTGGATCTGTGGACAAAAAAACCTATCATTAGTGGATTTTCTGAACAAAGGTTGGATTTTTAAATTGGTTAGTTTTTTTTTCGGAGTTTTTAATATTCTTTTTCGCTTTATTTGACTTAGCGTTTCGCACTGCCTTCTCCCGTTCTCTCCGTATTGTTTTTATTACTTACTAATCTGTCAATGTAGTTGAAGCGAAAGAATTTCAGATGTTTTCAATTATCATCGAATTTTGTTGACTTTCAGAAGTCAATGTTAATCTTTTAAACTTACCATTAAGTATTTGACTTGCATTCCAATTAAAAATTTATTTTTTTCTCATTTTATATATATTTTTTCTTATGTTAAGATGCTTGTACTTCTCTGGCGGGAATGTGAGCTTTTTTTCCATATAATTTTATGTAAAGTGTGGTTATATTTATATGTTATGAATATACATGTTTTTAAGGTTTATTATTTTGTGCATATATGGGTGGAATTTGTGGAAAGTTAGCTTTTCATGCGGGAGAGGGTTGAAAGAAATTTTGTTTTACTATTTGTATTAATAAGCAGTATAGAGGACTTTTTGAAAGTATCCTTGTTGAGTCAAAGGGGTTTTTTTTGATTCATTTGTTTGTTTTTTGTTTTGCGAAGCAGGTATGTGACTTGGCAGTTTGTTTCAGAGGTGCTAACTTTTGATTATCTGAAGTCATTTATATGTCTTTAATAGAATATACTGCTAAGCAGTTATTGATCCCTTATCTCCAAAGCTACACCGCATTGCATATCTATTTTTTTCTGTCATCCTTGATGTAAAAATAGCCTGTGGAGAAGGTACAGTTTTTATTCTCTAATTTTCCATCTTTACAAAGTTTGCTAAAAATTGATACTGTTATTGTTCTTATTATTACTTTCACTTATTATCTTTTGTTTATCATTTATTAATTGATTTTTGTGACTGGAACTGAATTTTCGCATGAACTATCAGTGGTTGGATTTACAGGCGTATTTAAGAGATTGTTATTTTCATTTGGTATTGTGCAGAACTTTCGCTTGGTTTTTGAATGATTACGATCCGACTTATCTCTTTGTTTTATTTGCTTTCTGCATTTTAAAAAAGGAAGTTTTTTGGGTTTTGACGTTACACTGAGTGTCGTGGGCTATACAGAATCTAATTTGTGATTGGAATGTATTATGTGGTGACGACAGAAGTAGCCTGTTTGATTATTTGCAAATCTTTATTATTGATTCATGCGATCAGATTCTGTTTTAAAAATATAGCCTTAGCTATGATGAAGTTAATTATCGTCACATTTGTTCAGTTCTGAAATTTTCATGGAGTTTTTGCGATTGCTCTTCGTTGTTTTAAGAGTTTTTTAAATGATGTTTTGGCCTATTAACTTTATTTTTCAGGCATCATATTTTTTAAGTTCAATAGTTGACCAGCGTGTACTTTTCCTCATTAAACGTAATGAGGATATGCTTGAATGACATAATTAGGCTTTAAAATTGGCTATGTCTTCGTCACTTGGACGTTCGGCGGAGGCTTCTCACTTTGGTTTTCTGCATTCTCCTGTAGTCGGTCCGTCGACAACTGTTATCAACAGTGTAAGTGGTGTTATCCGTTTTTTTTCAGCTGTACATTCAAAGTTTCGTGAAATAAGGTGGTATGAAGAGTACCTTGAGTTCCTCGTGAAATGGAGGTGAGTTAATTCATTACGTAAGAATGAAGTAGTAATAAGAAAAACTAAAAACTATTAGTCTTTATTTCATTGGCTTTTTTGGGAGAAAATTTTTTTGGTTTTGTAGGACGTTACTTTGTTTTATTTTTTTCTTTTTGGATTGTTTACGCTTTTCAGTTTAACTTCTGACGGTTGTTTTATTATTAGGATACGTACGATCATCATGGGGCTTGCAATTCACCATGTCTTTCTCCGAGGAACTTCCAAAAAGAGTTAATTACTCTTCATTTGCCATTTGGAGTTCATTCGACGGTTCGTTCTCACTTTTGTGGTCGACTGTTTGGTGTTGTGATCAAACCCGAAGTGTTTTGGATTCGTTTTACTGAGTCTTAATTTTCCTATGAGAATATAGTTTTTTAAACGTAGTGGAGTCAAAGATATTGCATTATAAAATTAGCCTTCTGGTTATTGGCTTCCCCTTTAATGTAGTAGCTGTTTACCGAAAATGAGTGGAATGACTAGGAGCTTTATTAATTTTTTATTTAGTTAGAAGTGAAGCCGGGAGTTTCTGCTATGAACGCAATCAAAAAGATTTTGAAGAAACGGGACATTTTACCCCAAATGTGTAAAGTAGTTTCCAGTCAGGATCCGGAGAGCAAGCCTATAGATTTAAATGTTGATTTAGAAGCATTATCTAATGTTCGTTATTTTTCAAAGCATTTTATTAATGGTTATATAAGAATTTTTTATTTTTGAAAAAATAAGTACTTTTTGTTTTTCTTCGTTGTCCTAAGTACTTCCTTCTTGTAAAAGAAAAATATATATAGTCTTTTGTAGTTTTATTTACGTCGCATTTAAAACGGTTGTTGCATAGTATTGGTTTTAAGAGTTTGGGAGAGAGGAAAGAGCTTTGGGTTCACAGTCCATACCTCTCTTTCGTTGTGTCGGTCCAACACAACTTTGTCCGTAAAACTTTCCTAAGGCTTGCGTTTTGCGATGTATGTAGGAAACAAATATGGTTACAGGTTAGTCATTGTCTTTAAAAATATTTTGAAACCTTAGAAGTTACTTTACTTTTACTGGGTTTGTGAAAAACTTAGGAATTAGAGGCTTAGTGACGTTTTCTCTCGGTTCCTTCGTGACTTTGTGGTTTTAGTTGTTTGCCCTACCCTCTTTTTTGATTGATTTTTGTAGGGTGGTTTTCAGTCTTCACTTTTTTGGAATAGATTTAGAACGGTACAGTTAAGGTTTATTTAAGAATTTATTTTCGCGCTCTCGTACGGTGCTTGTCTTTTCCAGGGTTTTCGTTGTGAATTATGTCAATTTAAATTCCACCAAAAGTGTTCTTTAAAAGTTCCGAATTACTGTGATAGAATGCAACAAATATCAAACGATCCTGAGATGGCTAATAAACTGAAAGCGTACGTGGATCAGTATGGTGGGCCAAACGCAGCAGTTGTTGCTGAGATTATTACGCAGTTTCAGAGTCCTAATGCAGGTTTTGGAGATACCGAGTCTTTTATTTCAGTAGCATTCGTCTTTTAAATCACCAATTACTTTGCTGATCATTTATAGTTCATTTTTAACACATTTTTAGTATATTGCTTGTCTGCACACTCGTATTTGTTCATTTTTTATAAACTTTTTTTTTCAAGAGGTACCTGCTGGAGGGGAAATTACTCGGCAACGAGCTATTCGTTTACCTCCCCAAAGGACAGATACAGCTTGCGTTCCTATGACAGAATCTTCTAGGGATCGTTCCACTTCTGCACCGAATATATATGAAATTTCTAAGAATTCCGATGCATTCCTCGAAGCTGTTAGTTGCTCTGACACTTTGTTCACTCTGTTTTGTTCTGTAGTTGAATTCAGAAAGCAGTATTCAGCTTTAATTTTCATGACGCTTAGATCGTTTTGCCGCCAGGACTTTATTTTAAAGGAGCTCTAGAAGGAAAGGAGGGGAATTGGCGTTTATTAGTCGTCTAGTAATGCTAAAAATTATTTAAAAACTGTTTTTAGAAAATATTTTATGGTTTATTTATTTTTGGCTTTTTTTTAGAAAGTCTTGAATGCTCTTTCAAATCGTACGGGTTATACGATCACTTCGTCAGGTTAGTTTTATGATATGCTACTTTCGCCACCTTATTCTGTTCTTACTTTCGCCGTATCCTTTATTTAAGCTATTGTTATAGGTTTTAGTTTTTAGATACAACCATTACACTTTTTTATTTTGCTTCGGCTTTGCCATTTAATCGTTTCATAATACGCTTAAATTTTTGTTTCGCATTGTTTCTTGCTTATTTGCTGTATACCATCAAATAGTTTAATGCCTCTAACTACCAGTGTCTTTAGCCTCTGCGGTACCTTTATCAGATTTTGCCTGCTCAACTTCTGTCCCGAGTCGGACATATGGTAATCGTACTTTGAAGAAACCTTTGGGTTTACCCAATCGTGATTGGCATGTTGGGGGTTTACGCCAGTCAGGTCGCCTTTATCCGACAACAGCTACTAACATGAGCTCTCCAACTTCAACAAGTTCTTCTCCACCACCAATTCCGGGAACACTGGGTGATCCTGGATTGGGTTTGCCACCTACGCCACCGCAGTCTGCTCCGCCTCAAAAAACTTTCTCATTCTCTCGTTTTCGAAGTAAAAGTACGATAAATTTATTTGTTTTTTAATTAGCTATCTGTAAATGAGTTGTGCTTCTGCTTGACTTTTTTTTTGCCGGCTTTAAAATAATTTCTGTAAAAAAACATTTGGTTGCACAATTTTTTTAGGTCCTAATGACAAAATGGTGCTGAAGAGCATTACTTCAAGGGCTTCCAAATCGTCTGACCGTCTTATGGAGGAGGTTAAAAAGTTTTCAACCCTATTATTTTTGAAGTTACCTTATCAGTGCTTACCGAGAACTTTTTTAGAACGACAATAAGAGTATTCTGAGTAATAAGAGACAGATGATGGAAGACTGGGAGATTGATCCCTCTCAAGTAACTATTCATAAAAAGATTGGTAGCGGGTCTTTTGGTACTGTTTATTGCGGTTACTATTTCGGTAAATTTTTTTCTGCTTTTCGGCTTCTTTCTTCAAAACTAGCTACTTTTTAAATTAATTCTTAGTTTTCAGGTAAAGTTGCCATAAAGAAATTAAATGTGGGTAGACCAAACCCTTCACAACTTCAAGCATTTAAAAATGAAGTAGGTGTTCTAAGGAAAATTCGTCATGTGAATGTTTTGCTTTTTATGGGTTGGATGCGTCATCCGGAGCTAGCCATTTTAACGCAGGCATGTTTTTTTATATTTGATTGCTCTAGCTGTTACTATTAATTTTTGAACTGCTTTTTCTAAGTAGTTACCTTTAAAAGCATTACAGTGGTGTGAAGGCTCGTCGCTGTATAGAAAAATACATGTAGTGGAACCTCGAGTAAATTTTGAAATTCCTTCAATTATTGAAATTTTAAAACAGGTTGGCATGGGTATGAACTACCTTCACAGCAAATCAATTATTCATAGGTACCTTTGACTTAATTTTTCTAAAAATAGGAATTGATTTTTTTGGCTGTTTATCTGTTTATTGCAGTTGCCTTACCACAGTTGTTGTTACAGGGACTTGAAAACCAATAATATTTTTTTGACGGATGACGGGACTGTTAAGGTTGGCGATTTTGGTTTGGCTACTGTAAAAACGGTCTGGATTGGGAATCAACAACATCAGCAACCTACTGGAAGTATACTTTGGATGGTCAGTTATTAAAAGTTTTTGGACGGTGGATTATAAAATTTGTTGGATGAAAGAAGGAGACCTTTACATGTTTTGGTTGCTCTCTCTTCAAAGGGGTTTTCTTGTTATTTTTTAACTTTTAAAATATTGTTAATGTTATTTTTTTTGGGTTACAGTTTCAAAAATTTAGCTTCATCAGAAATTATGGCATGTTCTTCCAATTTTTTTCTGATGCAATTAGTTTTTTGCTTTTTTGGAAGCTCACTTTGATTAAACCAAGCTCAGCTTTTTTTAAATGGCTGTGCATAGAAGGAAGAGTAGTTTACAGACTGGTTTAGGCGCCGGAAGTGATACGGATGCAGGACGAGACGCCGTACACTACATCTTCTGATATTTATTCCTATGGAATTTGTATGTATGAACTATTAACGGGCAAATTACCTTATGCGCGTGTAAACAGTGAAGACCGGACGTATAGTAGAGATGAGGTATCTCGAAGTTTGCTGTTATGTAAATTTCAACCTACGTATGCTTTACATTCAGCTTTTTCATTTTAAGATCTTATTTATGGTGGGATGTGGCCTTTTGAAACCTAATTTAAAACTGATTCGACCAGATGCTCCAGAAGCCTTGCGTAGTTTACTGGAGAGCTGTATCAACCATGAAAGGAAAGCGCGGCCGGAGTTTGATAAAGTATCCTTTTGGTTCATCAATGTTTGAAAAATTCCGTATTTGGGTTTTTGATTTTTACAGGAAATTTTTTCTCTTTTGTAGTTATTTAGCATATATAGCATATTTAATGTTCTTTACTGGACTTTATCATGCACTTTGGTTTATGTTAATAGTGTAACTTCGTTTCTTTTAATTCACCAGTTTTATATATCGTTTGTATTCATTTTCAGTCGGATTTTTGGTATGTTATGCTGCCTTTTCAGCTGAATGTAAGAGCATCGATGTAATGTTCCAATTGATTTCCTTTGTTTTAGATTCTTGTATGTCTTGAAAGAAGTGTGACAAGCCTTCCAAAGTTCAAACGCTCAGTGTCAGAACCTCAACTATATCGCAATAAAATGTTGCAGATGGAAAAAAAAAGTGATAACACACCTCAACCTCAGTCACCGTCGACGCCAAATGAAAATTATGCCACAAGATTTAAATTCTCTCCTGCAGGAGGGTCAGACTACTGAGGTTTTTTTTGAATTTTCAACGATTAGTTGAAATCTGTTTTGCTCTGAAAAGCAACTGTTAGTAGATGTTAATTTAATATATATCATATATTCAGAGAAAAGTATGACAAAATCGAGAAACCTTGTTATATTTTGACTTTAGAGTGAACATTTTGGTTTTTAAGATTAATGCTGATTGCTCCTTGAATTTATTTTTTGGTTGTAAATAATGTTTTAGTGCCTTTTAGATACTGGAATTCTTTGGATTAGTGATAATTTTTAACTGTTAGTCGTTGCAGTTTAGTGACGAACTGCAGGATGTATGTAGTCGTATCTGGGCTTTTTGATAGCCAAAATTCTCTTCTCATTTTACCCAGCTTCTACTTTCAAGGTTTTTTTAAAGAAATCCGTTGGGATGTTTAATTACGGTTATTTTTCCCATTGTTTGTTCATTTTTCTTGTTCTCAGACTTTTGATTTACTGCATTTAGATCTTAATACGCCAATTATAGATTTCACATACTACTATATTTTGATCATTTAGGTGTTAAATTTTACTTTGTCTTCTTGTTTGCCTTAATTTTTGAACGTTTTGAGCATTTTGTTCTACATTTCTATACTTTCTGGTACATGTTAGTAAAATTGTCCAGTCTTGTTTTTCTTAAACATTTTTGTTGCGCAGGAAAACGTTTATTGGTTATGTGCTTTTGAGTATGAGCTTGTTGCTTTAAACTGTAATATAGATTTTACTCATTCTTTACAAATACTTTATAAGTGAAAAGGTTTAAGACGTCAAGTGAACGTCTTTAGTTTTACCGCCACCACTCAAAAGAAGATTAGCGAAAACTTGAATGGTTAAAGGGAACGAAGTTTGTACGATAAAAGCAGTTTTCTTATTAGATGCCGCTGGGTATGGCTACGCTACTGTTTTTGATTTATACCTTTTGTTTAAAGTAATGATTCTTAAATGGTAAAAACTGTTTATAT